GTAAGGTAGCATTCGAACGAGGCATTGCGCTAGCTACGCCAACAACCAGCACTTTTCTCGCTAATTTGCTAAGTGCTAACTGCTCGATTTCTCGGCACGCAAAAAACGCACCGCTAGACAACAGCGTAATCTCGAGTGTCTCGCACCCTCAGGTAGATATGCACAATCTCTTCCTCTCTTCTTAGCGCTTAATAAACAGAAAACCTTTATCCGAATCCGAATTAGCATTTGCATACTCTTGATCTGCAATATAACTATTGTTATATATCTACATTAGAATTAAGAAAGATTTCCGCAGATATGTAAACAAGATCACTTATTACATGAAAATAGGATAGTGAAATAGGCAGTAAATAATTACAGGCAGTAAATTTTATTTTCTTGTGTGGGCATATCAGTAGTACCCACCGTCCATGGGCAACTAGACGAACGCATCAATAATCAGCCGGATTATCAATCTCCCAAACCACTTTTCTTGGGTAACCACATATAAGAAATAGCGGTTGATTTTCTGGATATAGAATTAAGTTTAAGGGGCTAACACGAACATACGCGTAAGGCAAACGGTCACGTGATATAATAAAATGTCCTTACAATAAACGATACCGTAATGAAAAAAAGGAAAGCTGAAAAAAATACATCAGTTACATACTGAACCCAAGGAGAAAGTTAATTTGTTTCGTCGTTTTCTACCGTTGTTTCTTCTTCCATGTCATTCAAATTTTATCATATTTTTTTTATTTCCTTTTCTTTTTTTCTGCTTCCTTCTGTTGTACTACTATAGATGCTATGACGAGATATACTAAGATTATTAAATGAAATATTTGTAGTAGTAAAAACAGAAGTAATAATAATGATGATTAGATGATGATATTGAAGATAATAATATGATAATAATAGCAGATACAATGGTGATGAATATAATAAGTGTTAATTATCATTACCAGCATCATTAGTATTACAATGATACTGGCAATAACAATAAAAATAGTGATAAGAGGATGGATCATGATAACAGTCAACATTATTTTATCATTGCCAGTATCAATAACATTATTTTCAACATCATGATAAACATTATCATTTCAACATCATAATTGCTTATTTTCACCATCACAATAAACATAATTTATCCAACATAAATAGATTTTTTCCAACATCATACTCAACATCATTTTTTAGCATCATAATAAACATTTTTTATTTTCATCGTCTTTTATTTTCGTTGGAATCGCCGGCTTCCTGATCCAACTAAATATATCTTATATTTATAGCAACCTCGTTCTTTCGCTTTCTCATCCTTCTCTGATTCTCTCTTCTTCAGCCCTTATTAAAAACTGAAAATCTCTCTCCCTTCCACTTGGCGGAGAAGCGAACACAAAATGCAAGCGATAAGATTGTGGATAGAGCTGATAAGACAGAATCCGGCGCAGAGATTAGATGCCGTTTGGCCGATGCGGAAATGTCATGTTAATTAGGCTGACCCTTATGTTGAAGTGACGCCGAAGCCCGCGGGAGGAACACGGCCGGCGGTGCGTCCCTGGAAGCTCTTTCCGGATGCAATCATACCTTGGCCGAATGAAGCCTTCAGAGGGCTTTGGGAGAGTGAGGCTTCCTTCGTTCATTCATGTGCTATGACTGTCATCTTCAGAATAGCACGCTCAAAAAGAAAAAAAATGCTTGCATATATACGTGTATATACTATATATATATATATATATATATATATATATATATATATATATATATATATATATATATATATATATACATGTAAATATATAAATATATAAACATACATATATATGTATGTATATATGTGTGTGTGTTTTTATATGCATGTAGGCTATATGTGTTTATATATATATATATATATATATATATATATATATATATATATATATATATATATATATATATGTATGCATATACATATATGTATATGTATACATATACATATATGTATATGTATACATATACATATATGTATATGTATACATATACATATATGTATATGTATACATATACATATATGTATATGTATACATATACATATATGTATATGTATACATATACATATATGTATATGTATACATATACATATATGTATATGTATACATATACATATATGTATATGTATACATATACATATATGTATATGTATACATATACATATATGTATATGTATACATATACATATATGTATATGTATACATATACATATATGTATATGTATACATATACATATATGTATATGTATACATATACATATATGTATATGTATACATATACATATATGTATATGTATACATATACATATATGTATATGTATACATATACATATATGTATATGTATACATATACATATATGTATATGTATACATATACATATATGTATATGTATACATATACATATATGTATATGTATACATATACATATATGTATATGTATACATATACATATATGTATATGTATACATATACATATATGTATATGTATACATATACATATATGTATATGTATACATATACATATATGTATATGTATACATATACATATATGTATATGTATACATATACATATATGTATATGTATACATATACATATATGTATATGTATACATATACATATATGTATATGTATACATATACATATATGTATATGTATACATATACATATATGTATATGTATACATATACATATATGTATATGTATACATATACATATATGTATATGTATACATATACATATATGTATATGTATACATATACATATATGTATATGTATACATATACATATATGTATATGTATACATATACATATATGTATATGTATACATATACATATATGTATATGTATACATATACATATATGTATATGTATACATATACATATATGTATATGTATACATATACATATATGTATATATATGTATACATGCATATGTATATGTATACATATACATATATGTATATGTATACATATACATATATGTATATGTATACATATACATATATGTATATGTATACATATACATATATGTATATGTATACATATACATATATGTATATGTATACATATACATATAGGTATATGTATACATATACATATATGTATATGTATACATATACATATATGTATATGTATACATATACATATATGTATATGTATACATATACATATATGTATATGTATACATATACATATATGTATATGTATATATATGTTTATGTGTTTATACACATATATACAATATATGTTTGTGTGTCTATATATAAACATATATACATATGATGTATATATGACGCATATATGTGTATGTATATATAGTGATTGGATGCAAGGTATCTTGGACTCGGATTAGAATACTTTATTTCGAAGTATGCACAAAAAAACGGTAATTTCTGGTCGCGCGCAATCAGAAACAGCAGAAGCCAATAGATAGCCCTTGACAGCTATATATCTGACAAAGAATGGTCGTGTAACATTCCGAAACAAGTATTCTTGGCCAAAGATACGCACCTGCCATCGGACCTCTGACGAATCTAATGCGAAACTTGTGTCACGAAATTTTGCCAAGATCAGAAGTTGAGTCATTGTTCTTGACATACCATGGAGAACACCTGCAATACGGTTATAATTCACCTAGTAGAATAATATAGTTTAAGTTATACATATTTTGCCATTTTTTCATGATTTTCAGTAAGGGGAATTTATCATTCATTCTCCGTCGCAGCTGTTACATTAGAGAGGGCATTACCTACGTCGCAGAACGATGGCTTTGTAATCGTAATGTCGCGGTATCGAGTCCAGTCAGACCCTTTCAGTTGACTCTGTACTGGCATCACCATGCTGTCCACTCTACCGCGTTTTCCTGTGGCTTAGAATGCCTCTGTCTCTATGAGTATGCCTCGGTTGTTAAGCAAGATGAATTATCCTTAATGCAGATAAATAAGTGATTGGCGTTTAGTGATTTGGTGCTGATGTGATTAATTTGCTGAAGCTGTTGGTAATGGATCTTGCACTATACTGTAACACTGTTATTCGCCACTAAACTTAATATAATTTTCTCTCTCTCTCTCTCTCTCTCTCTCTCTCTCTCTCTCTCTCTCTCTCTCTCCTCTTTCTCAACTTTGGCATACACATTGCAAGTTATATCAAGTGTTTGGGGAGCCAAAATTCTTGGGGCAATCTAACTGATATGTGAAATAGTTTAAAGTAGACATAAAAAACAGTACTTTTAGCAGTGATGGCAAATTTACTGAAGAATGAATGCGGTGGTTCAGATACAGTGGTTTATATTTTTTAATCAGTTGCTTTAGTTATGGATGAAAGTCACTCTGACTGTATAGTTTTCCAATGGAATCCATCTGCAAGCAGTACTGAGGAGAGCCATTGATACCAAGTTTATTGGTAATCATTGCAGCCAAATAAACTCCCATTATTGTATTGGCAAAATAAGGTAATTCATTTAACTCGAGAAAGTGTATAATGACAAATCAGGGATCACTAACCAGATATGGTAATAACATTCTTGGCAATGAGCGCACATAGAAAACATCTGCAAGAATTACAAGAAATGGACAACCATAAAGACCGACTATGTGGCTAATTTAATCCGTTATTACTGTCCGCAGCGACATTCTGGAGACATTAACAGGTGATGTTAGTGTCAAGGACGATTATAAGGGTTGCCAGTCATGTTCAGGGCAGTATTCCATTTATTATGAGATTCAGTCACTGCTTTGCTTATTACACTTACATATAGATAAAGAGATAGATGTGGATACTGATATATACGTATATGAAATATGTGAAAAGACGATGCCTTCAGTTCAGATATTTTAAAGTTCACCTTTTTTTGTTACCTCAGGAGGTTTTCCTGCCATGTGCATACTTTTTTCCCCGACTGCACAATGGTGGAAGTGCAGAAGGAAGTCTGTCAGGATTCCTGACATGACTTCTTCTCAGTAAATCGCAAGGCCAGTAGTTCAGCCTT